CTATAGATTTTCTAAACAATTATGCTATAGACATTCTATAGTTGTTTTTTTTTTATAGAATTCTATAGAATTTTTTTGTGTGGGTTATGCACGTGACCAAAAAATATGGCCGATTTGTCAGTTTAGCAACAACATTTGCGTTAATATAATTAATATTTACCCACATTGAAGTAAAAAAATAATCGTAGGCTAACAAAATTCAAAAACTGGATGAAAACATGTTTTTTACGAAAACCCATACTGCCACAATCCGAAGCAGCCTGGATTACGCAGCAGCAGCCTGGATTATCGAGGTAACTATGCAGCCATTTTGTTTTGTCAATTATTTGCGAATACGCTGCATGCAGCCTCCCATACTTTCTAATCGACGGATCGAAAAGGATCCAAGTCCAAAAATGTATGTACTGCGCATGACTGGGTTACACAGAGCAAAGCTCCCCTTTGCTCTGTGTAATCCAGGCATGCGCAGTACATACATTTAATTCCTTTTCGATACGTCGATTCGAAAGTTTGGGACGCTATATGCAGTGCCTGCCTATAATTTGCAATTTGTTGATACAATCAGTTTAATTAGATAATAGTTGATTAAATGGATAGGCCTATGTGAATAAAAATAGAATGATGGTTAGCGTAATTTCTGCGTTCCGTCCCGTACATTAAAGACGTTTGGAGAAGCTGATAATTTTGTCCACTCATTCCTTGCCTAGGCCTATGCCTAGCCTCGACTAGATTAAGATTGTCCAGTTTATCATCACTGTCAGCTCAGCTTCCGTGAGACATCTTTCTCGGATCCCAAAAACATTGCTTGAAATATTTTACCAGATATCATCATGGATGATATCTGTAAGTAAGATTATTTTGATATTATTTTAATTTATTGTATGTAAATCTGGTGATCCCCTGTGCCTTTTAACTGTATAATGGTGTGTATTTGCAATAAAAACCTAGGGCCTAGGCCCTATGTACCCTATTTTTATGTCTACAATTATGTTGTTATTATTATTTATTATTAACATTCATTTATTTATTCAGGTCCATCTAGGTACGTTGTTTACGCGCATACTAAAGCTAATTGAGCGCGTATCAAACAAGCGGGGAAAACGATTAATAGACAAGATCAGGCGAGTAGAGAGCTAATAGACTACACACTCATGGGTGCCAGGGGGATCGGAGAGCCTGTACGTTAAGACGCACGTACAAATACAATAGAGTAGAGCTCAGCTCACATAGGCCTAATTGTGCTCTCAATATTATATTGTTGGCTGGAAATAAAGGAAACAAAGTTACAGTTAATATTGTCTCACAATTTATAAATAACACACACCAATATTATAAATTTATTCAGGCATACCAATATTACAAATTTATTCAGGCGCATTTTAATTCAAACTACATTCAAAAGTTTAAAATTACCTGTAGCTCCTATTGTATTAAGCTCTACATTTTTTAATAATCTAGCACATTTGGAATTACATTCCACAGGTGCACTACTGCCCCGTTATTTTTGGTAAACATTTTTTTTAAGCTGGTTATTTCTTAGCTGTTTATTCCTTAGTAAGCTGTTTATGCTTGCATGACTCCTTACTTTATACTGTCTGGATTTTTCTATGTTCCTAAGAGTGAGAGTACTAAATTTAACCAACAAACTGCTTAGACTGTGGTATAGCAATCTATAACTTTTTGGTTGTACTTCATTATATATGTATGCAACAACCCTATTAAAAATAAAAGTTGTTACGGTTAAAATTCAATACATAAAAAGTTAGTGTTACTAGTTGTGTATAGGTATTCACATAATTATTGCCTGAGGAATTATAATCACTATATGTAATTGACTGTTCACAAACTCTGCGTTTTTGTATGAATAAATACGATATACCTTATTGATACCGTTAAACTATTTGTTTTTCAAGTACGGTTTCTTACGGCAAAAGTTAACAGATTTTTCCTACCGTGAACAACATAAAAATGTTTTTTTTTTTAGTGGTTTAAATATCCTCCCTGACGATTCATTACATCAAGTTACATAATATAATTGCAAAAAAAAACCAAAAAAAACAAAAAACGCTTAAGCCCACCACCGGACAGGTCAAGCCTCCCCCCGCCGGACAGAGCTCGTCGGGCAGTCAGACCACAAAGCATATAAAAATAGGCCCACACCAAGCCAACACATGTCTGTCACAGTCTGAGAGTGCCATTTTTGGCCATCTAGAGGTTGAAAAATCTCATTTTGGAGTGAAACACCCTCTCAACCCCTTCTCCCAGCTCGAGCCTACGAGCTCAAGTCCCCTGTCCCCGAGAAGATATATCCTAGAGCTGCCACTGCAGGGACTTTCTTTCTGAAACAGGAATTTAGCATTTATGACCTAGGCCTAGATTATGTTCTACTGCATGTTACACTTACGAAACTTCAAAAACAATGCAAACTCCCAAGTTGAAGAATTACTGGATTATTTAAAGTTTGTAAAAATTGGATTTTGGAAGTGAAATCTGCATGCCAGTTTGTTGTCTAGGTCTTTATTTGTGCATATTCTACACTAGGCCTAGACTAGGCTAGCTAGGATGGTAAGTATATGCTGTAGGCATAGGTCTATCCATCTTTTATTATTATTATTATTATTATTATTATTATTATTATTATTATTATTATTATTATTATTATTATTATATTATTATTATTATTATTATTATTATTATTATTATTATTATTATTATTATTATTATTATTTTTTTTTTGGTTTTTTTTTTTGGTTTTTTTTTTTTAGTGGTTTAAATATCCTCCCTGACGATTCATTACATCAAGTTACATAATATAATTGCTGTCTCTTATACACATCTAGATGTGTATAAGAGACAGGTATATGACTTCCCAGCTAACAATATTACGTTCTAAGAACGTTGTAATAACGTTACAGTTTGGTGATGAAAACGTTATTTTGTAGAACCATATGTACGTACTTATGGGGTACTTATAACCTAATTTCACAACGTCACAACATTTGAACGTTTTTACAACTTGTGTGAACGTTATTATGTGACATTCCAAAGCACAACGTTCGCGAAGGTTATAAGAACGTTTCATGTTTGCTGGGTTAGAACTGGTGTCATATAGACATGGGCGATCTCTCTTAAGTTGAATCAAATTGCCTTCAAAATCATTGCCTTCGTCAAAATGGGCGATTTTGAAATTAATCAATGAATGCTCTAGGCTGGTCCAGGCGGCATAAAATAGAATATTTTGATTTTGAAAATAGGCCCCAGACTAGAAGCAAGTGCGGAAAAATAGGTCTACTATGTTCTATGCTACAGTAATTGTTCTAGACTGCCAAATTTAGCCATAGACTAAAATGTACCTCTGTCTTGTTTTAATATTTTTATTGTAATAGGCCTACCATGGTAATAAATACGAACGTATTCCTTTAGATTAAATACCTGGCCTTGGCCTATATTTACTTAAAACAAAGAATAAGTCATCTGCCATTAACAAAACATTGTAATACAATGTTTTTTTCAGTTAATGCATCTTGATTACGGATAATATCAAGATTAACGTTTTCAGTTTCCTTTGAGTTCCGAATCAATATTTTTTCGCGCTTTTTTCAGTTCCTTTCAGTTCCGCAAAATGTTGAACATGGGCAAATGAAAGAAACTAAACTCAACTCAACTTGACTCATGTCGACAAATATGCGCGACTGCCAGATCCTTTCACTTGCAGTCAGTTCCGTTCAGTTACTTTCAGTTGCGCGGAGCGCTCATGTCGACGAGTTGAGTTGAGTTCCGTGTCAACATGAGCCTGCCTTTAGTCAAAACTACGGCCCTACCGTAGCTAATGTTATCATGCGCTTCATCGTTAAATCCAACACTCAAGCTTCCGGCCTCTACCACATCTTCTGGTACAGAAAAAAAACCCCACTTATTTTCACTAGTGCTCACGAATCACTTTCATTTGTTGCGACTAATAATAGGATCGTTTATTTTCCCGATTTGTGTCAATTATAATTGGGAAGTTAAATGAGACTTACTTGTAAGTTGAAATTTGACTGGAATTGTGTTCCCTCCTTCTCCGGAAGTAGTGGTAACATGAGATGCGACGCATGCGTATAATCATATTTAAAGACTTGAGGAAATATTGAATTTTTGTCTCAATAAATAACAAAATCCAAAAGACCATGTCCCAAGCCACTCCATGGCTTTATGGAACGGGAGTCAACTGTTGTGAGAGCATGTTACCACTACTTCTGGAAAAAGGAGGGAACATAATTCCAGTCAAATTTCAACTTACATGTAAGTCTCATTTAACTTCACAATTCTGCTCCTTCCACTCCGGAAGGAGTGGTCCCATGAGATGTTCAAAGAGAGAGTTTCCGAAACCACACCCTATTTGGATAGGTCATACCAAATAAATGATATAAACATACAATAATCCACCTGTTAACTCTTTTATTTCACGTTTCCTCAAACACAAACAGGCTCAGCCTGTTTTCACGGCCAGAAATGCAGCATGTCTTTTTCTGAATCTACATAAAGAAAACTTTATAAAAGTATCAATGACTCTAAGTTCTAATAATGATTGTGTATGCCTACACTAGTGGTTGATTTACATTTCAATTTGTACTGTAAAGGCCAACTCAGACAGCGTCGGCCGACGCAGCCCGACCCGATTTATCGTCGGGGACAGTCTTAAGCCGTCGTGAGAAATATTAAACACGTTTAATATTCTACTACGCGACTGCCCCCGACGCACACAATCGCGTCTGCGTTCAACTCACACAGACCCGACGCGACAACAAATCGCGTCGGGCTGCGTCGGCCGACGCTGTCTGAGTTGGCCTTAAGTCGCTTAGTGTTCGACAACTTCAAGTCTTGCTGGTATTACTTTGTTTTCATTTTATTTCCTTCTAGCCCTCAATTGTCAAATCCAATACACAAAACATGTGCTTTTTTTTTTAAAGAACCAACACTATAATAATATGTATTGTTCATAAAACGCTATTTATTAGATTGATATTTTGGACTGAGAAGACATCACCGACAAAACTTGTGAGCTGCAATCTGGGTGGTACAAATCGTCATGATCTTATAAACACAAACCTGCTGGATCCATCAGGGATAACTCTTGATCACGCCCAAAGAAGGTAGTACTGTATATTATTACAATTAAAAAAATAAAATACATTTAATTTTATGATAATTATACAATGATATCTTGAAATACTTTCACTTGGATCCAAAGGCATTATGATTACAGTCTTAAAAACTGCGCTGGTTCGAGCCAACAGTTCGATTGGTAGTATCAAGTCATCAAGGACTTCTGTGAAATCGGATGTCAGTAGCACACACTTGTGTTCACTCTAAGCCCTTGCACATACTCTACACCGATGTTCTTAGAGGAGAGGCCGACACGATTTAATGGGGAACGCAGTGCGATGATGTATGCGCAGAGGATCGTTTTTAATGGCAATTCACCCAGACGAGGTTCACTCGCTAGTCATAAAGTTCTCTACTTATAAGGTCCTCTTTTCCTAACGTCCGCTAGTTATAAATACAATTGTTTATAAGGTTCACTATTCATATTTTTTTTTAAAGTTCACTATTCATAAAGCTCATTATTTATAAGGTTCGCTAATTATAATAGAATAACAGGTTCGCTAGTCATAATAAATGGTTCATTACTCATAATCAAGAAAGGAGTTCGTTATTTACAATAGAAAAATAGGACCGTTAGTCATAAGGTTCGCTATTCATAATTTTTAAAAAGAGGTTCGCTATTCATAATTAAAAAAGAGGTTCTCTATTCATAATGTTAAAAAGAGGTTCGTTATTCATAATAAAAAAAAAGGTTCGCTATTCGTAATAAAAAAAAAAGAATTTCGCTTGTCATAATAAATAAAAGATGTCGCAAGTCATAGAAAAAAGGGTTCACTAGTCATAATAAAAAAAGGTCCGCTATTCATAATAAAAAAAAAACACCCCAAACGCTAGTACACATTTAATTGTAATGCGTTTTTAAAATAACTCTTTAAATAATAGGAAGTAAACAAACGGAATTTTCTTAAATATCCGAAGCTTTTAAAATGTAATTATAAAAATTTATAAAATATAAAAATAAGGTCTATATTTAAACAACCCGTAAAATATTAAGAATTAATAACTGTAACTATTAAATATAATTTAAAACCACACTTGAAGCAGTTGTTTACAAGGTCTACCTTGAGAGTCATGTGAAGTATTATACTCTTCTTCATATCAATGCTCACCACCCCTTTTCCCTTCGCTTGTTTCCTGAATAAAAAGTTACGAAGTATCTGGTCAAAGTCAAGAAAGTTGTACTAATAAGACCGACACAGGCATGCAGAAAAAAATACATTAAGATAATATGCACTGCATATTAATTCAAAGGATGGAAAACAAAAAAAATATTTTGATATGCCTAAATCTAATATTTTTCCCGGAGTAATATTATACCTGTCTCTTATACACATCTAGATGTGTATAAGAGACAGTCTCATCAGTGCAGCTCAGGATTTTAAGAATGAAACACACCACTAACTCAAACATAGCTTGGGTCAGTCTTGTGTGACGTGGTACACTGATTATGAATACAAGAGTGCACAAACCCAATAATGAGTGTGCTATGCAAGTTGCAAAATAGTAAACATAAACAATGCACCATCTTAAAATAAGAGTGCTCTACAAAACAATGTACTACCTTGATAGTACAATGTAAGGAGCGTAAATATTCCAATCTGCAGACAGTACCGTTTCGATCTTGTTAGATCTCATCAGTGCAGCTCAGGGTTTTTAAGAATGAAACACACCACTGACTCAAACATAGCTTGGGTCAGTCTTGTGTGACGTGGTACACTGATTATGAATACAAGAGTGCACAAACCCAATAATGAGTGTGCTATGCAAATAAGAAAATAATTATTTTCTTAGTACTGATGTTACGTAGTACAATAACGTGTATTTTTTCTTCTTGCAAGTACTATAGTTTTCATTTTACGTGAAATGAAAAAGCGTATAATTATAATTGATTATGTACACTTTATTTATTGACATTATTCATAAAAAATTACATTTAAAAACAAAAGAACTAAAAGAATGACAATAATGAAGGTGGTGGTTTAATGGCAAAAATTTTGCCGGGCATAGTGCACGGGAGTGGCGCTATGTAGGGGTCAAATTGGCGAAATGCAGGACTATGACAATCTTTCACTCTTATTGTAATGAGCAGTAAACCATTTTTGTTTTCAAACTATAATTAGCTTTTTTTTTTTATTGATTTATTAACTAGTGAACTTTTTTTTTATATTATGAATTGCCAACCCCCTTTTTTTAATTATAAATAGCGAACCTTTTTATTGTTTATTAAATCTTCTTTCTTTTTTATACGTAATCTTTGGAGATTTGGAGAAGTACTATAGTTTTCATTTTACGTGAAATGAAAAAGCGTATAATTATAATTGATTATGTACACTTTATTTATTGACATTATTCATAAAAAAATACATTTAAAAACAAAAGAACTAAAAGAATGACAATAATGAAGGTGGTGGTTTAATGGCAAAAATTTTGCCGGGCATAGTGCACGGGAGTGGCGCTATGTAGGGGTCAAATTGGCGAAATGCAGGACTATGACAATCTTTCACTCTTATTGTAATGAGCAGTAAACCATTTTTGTTTTCAAACTATAATTAGCTTTTTTTTTTTATTGATTTATTAACTAGTGAACTTTTTTTTTTATATTATGAATTGCCAACCCCCTTTTTTTAATTATAAATAGCGAACCTTTTTATTGTTTATTAAATCTTCTTTCTTTTTTATACGTAATCTTTGGAGAATATGAAAGTTTCTTTCACATAAATCTGCCGAAGTTTTAGTCCATGCCTTCATTTCATGTAAGTTAGATTATTGCAACTCACTTTTTATTGCACTACCCGATACCACAATTTACAAAAAAATCCAAAATTCTGCTGCTCGTATTGTTTCACTGATCCCAACACATAACACCAGCCCTGAAGTGTCTTCATTGGCTTCCCGTTAAACAACGTTGAATTTTCAAATTGCTTCTTTTGGTATATAAGTTAATTGCGTTTCACAAACAATTATAGTTGTTGCATCACTTAAGATGGCCGCCTTAAAAATGGTAAAAAAAAATATTTTTAAGTATAATTCCACATTTTCTTTATGGAAAATGGTAAATTTGGATCTAATCACATGATTTGGGATCTCTGAATACAATAAATATAGTTTAAAAAAACTAGGATGGTAGTCGTTTTTAAATTCAAGATGGCCACCATAAATATCCTCAAAAATCGAATATTTTAGTTTGTAATTCCACTTCTCTGATGAAAAATGCTAAATTTGCTGTTTAAGCATATGTTATTAGGCTCTTTGAGTCCAATATACATGGTTTCATATATCTGGGATAGCAGCTATTTTGGAATTCAAATGGCCGCCATAAAAAAACATTGAAAATTGAATATTTTGGCATGTAACTCCACTTCTATTTGGTGAAAAACGCTAAATTTGGTGTCAAATTATATGGTTTTGTGTCTACTTAGATGGCTGCCATGAAAATTGTCAAAAATAAATATATATAGAGACACAACATGTGATTAGACACGAAATTGTTGCCATTTTGTCTTTATTTTTATCGCGGCAATCTTGAAATTCAAAATGGTTGTTATTCTAGATTTATGAAACCATGCATATCTTAAAACACCAAATTTAGCAGTTTTTGTTCAAAGAGAAGTGGAATTACATACTAAAATATTCGATTTTACATTTGCTTTAGAGGATATGTGGAATTATGCTGAAATATTATTTTTTTGACCATTTTTAAGGCTGCCATCTTGAGTTTCAATATGGCTGCCATTTTACGTTTTCGAAACCTTTCTCATTGGCCTCAGTGACCGCAATAACATATAGTTAGACACCAGATATTCCATTTTTTATTGGATATAAGTGAAGTTATGAGTCATTATCATAGATTTGATAAAATATGCTCCGCCCTTTTTCTGGAGGTTCTCCCTCGTTCAATTTTCTTATTTATATCCTTGTGATGCTAAATCAGGAGTGAAACCTTGGTCCCAGAGAAATGGTCACGGGGCCCCTGATTTTCACTATACTATGGTGCCAGTTTCATAGAATATATTTGCAGATTTCCTGGAAACTCTGTGAAAATATCAATACCTAGGAACAAAATGTAGTCTAGAGTCAATATATTTCATTTGCCCACAATGAAATTTTAGGGGTATCATGTGGGCTTAGTGTCCTAACCGAGGTGTGAATTTTACAAAAATCGAGATATATACTTTTGTGATATTTTCGGTCAAAATGTCAAGGTCACGTAACTTGACCAATATAATTCTCACTAGTCCGGACATCATCGGTTTGCATATCTTTTTCTCTATCTAACGGTACCAGAATTTCTCCAATACGTTGAGTTTCAAGAGAGATATCAGCAGTTGTCTGTCAGAAGGTGAGTTTTTTTTTTATTCATATGGAATGACTGAATTGAATAACGATTCTCTGGTATAGGGTAAACTAATGTTATGAATAACGAACCTTATGAATAATAAACCTTATGAATAGCGAACCTTCTGACTAGCGAGCTTGACCCACTCAGACTACCATTGACTATTAACAGTTTCAGAACCATAGTATCAGAGGAGTAAAAATTCCCATATTCCCTGGTTCATATTGCTAATGCCTTTTAAAACAACATATACATTTGAAACAGTTTAATTCTTTGATTTTTTTGGCGTGTGTGTGTGAGAAAATAATGCATTGAATTTAAAATACGTAAGCACGTGTTTTTAGGTTGACTTTCAGTGAATAACATAGCGTACTGTTTCCTTTTTTCATAAAGGATTTATATTGTTGGTGAAGATAGAAATCTTATATATACTATTGACTATGATGGTATCGAAAATATTGGCATTATTGGCTCAAGTACCAGTCCTGCTAAAGACATCACTCTTTTTCAGGTAAATGATTGAGACTTTGTTGATTATTATTCTTCTTTTCTTTCCGGATTTTCAACTTATCCTACGACAGAGTGTACAGCTTCAAACACGTATTCCAGATATTTACTTCTGTCATATTTTGGCATCATTACAAATATGATGTGTACAGTTTATGTAATTAATAGTAATAAAAACAATATAATGCTTACAATAGTAGTAGTAATGATAATAATGATAATAATAATGAAAATAATCATAATGATAATAATCATGATGATTATGATACTTGATAGGTTAATCCTTTTGCATATTCTTTCTGACGATATACTGGGATAACAATGATCATCATGAAGATGACGATGATGATGGTAATGATGATAATGATTATGGTGATGATGATAACGATGATGATAATGAAGATAGTGGTGGTGTTGATAATAAAAATGTTGATGTAGACGGCGATAAAAATAAAGATAATGATAATAACAATTAGTAATTTTTGCACATGCCTCTTTCTAGGACTTTATAATATTAGCTGGATCGTACGGGCGACAGTCGGGATTCATTGAAGCAATACACAAGGTCTCTGGCATTCATGAAGGTCTTATAAATGTGAATGCTACAGTCTATGCCATTGAAACCTTTGATGAATCAGCTCAACCTATAGCTACACGTATGTTGCTATTAGTATTTGTATCACATAAAAAGTCTACAATTCAAAAATACATATAATATAAATCAAGATAGCCGTTAACACTGTTAAATTAGATATAATCATCAAAGTCTAAATATTTACCACTGTTTTCATTATTGGACATCATCAAAATTGTAATAAATGTTTAAATGTTAATTTATGTGATAATCATATGACAATAAAACAATAATAATATAATAATAAATAATAATAAAATAATAATAATAATAATAATAATAATAATAATAACAATGATAATGATAACAATGAGAGTAACTTGATACTTGATAGATTATGCTCATGCAGCTTCATTATTCGACCTCTTTAAAATTGTAATAAATGTTTTAAATTTTAATTTATGTGATAATAAGATAATAAAACAATAATAATATAATAATAAATAATAATAATATTAATAATAATAATGATAATAATAATAATAACAATAATAATATAAATAATAATAATAATAATAATAATAATAATAGTAATAACAATAATAATAACAACAATAATAATAATAATAATAATAATAATAATAATAATAACAATGATAATGATAATGATAACAATGAGAGTAACTTGATACTTGATAGATTATGCTCATGCAGCTTCTTTCTGAATTTAGATAGAGATAACAATGATAATGATGATGGTGACAATAAGGATTACGATGGTGATGATGATATTAATGATGATGATGTTGATAATAAAGATGATGTTTTTGATGGTAATGAAAATGCTGATGAAGGTAATAATTAGTATTGTTTGCATATGGCTCTTTCTGGGACTTCGTAACATTAGTTGGATCGTATGTGTTTGCATGTATTACATTATAACCAGTGGTGATGGAATTAGGGGGTTTTGCGTTATGGAGAGTAAGGTGTGACCGGAAATGGTCTGCAGTCAGTTGGTTGTTACCATGCGCCAGTGATGTTGGAGTACCGTACGTCAGGAAGATGAAACTATTTATGTAATGCATGAATAAAGTTCGGGGTTTGTCGGGTAGTGAATGATTATTGTACATTTTAAGTGCTCCCTCCATGCATAAGTGTAAGCTAAATTACGGTGATTAATTAGTGAAGATATGGAGACAATATTTCGATTCCCTCTTTCCAAGAGGGGATGCAAATGCTTTGTGAAAATGAGTATGACGCGGTACACATTTTCATAAAGGAATAAACACAACTGGTTAGATAACAATATGCAAATGTTACATGAACACCTGGGAAGGAAGGTGCAATCACGTTATGTTGCCCAGCAAACGTCTGTACTGTAGCGTGGGGCGTGTGGGTGGGGCTAGCCCACTGATGTACTGTGTAGCGGGGAACGATGAGGCATAATACGACTAGGCCTATGCCTTAAGTAGACAGTGCAAGTATAAGAATTTTATTTTACTCAAGAGGAAATGAATTATGTGTGATAAAAGTACACTTTCGAAAGAAACCTTACCTTGTACCTTGTTTAAGTATTATACAATGCTAACAATGCGGCTCTTGTAGTCCTATCTTGGCAAGGCATCCATGTGCAAAGCAGTGGTGTTTGTTTACCAATAAAAAAAAGCACGGCGGGAAAGTTTGCCTTACCAGGAAAAGGTGACGTAATCTAGCTTATGACGTATAAATGCTAACTATATTGTGAGTGTGACGTCACCAAACAATAAACATTTTATATTATAACCAAACTACAAGGTTTGTGGGCGTAAATTCCCTTAATACGAATTAAGTGTAGCAGAATCTCCTTGCCATACAAATTACAGCTCCCACTGACGTCTCAGTCGGGTAGCTGAAGTTTTTCTGGCAAATCTGACTACAAAACCATATCGAAATTTCACGTTCCACTTCTGACTCACGAGGGCGCTTCACACATGCCACTGAGGGCGGCGTTCCGGGAAACCTGCATCAAGATGGCAGATAGAGGGCAGCCAGTAGTCACATGACCTGAACCGCTCTTGTCGCAACTCTCTCTACAGTATACTGTATAGCAACTTTAGTATGTGTCTTAAGCCGTCGTGAGAAATATTAAACACGTTTAATATTCTACTACGCGACTGCCCCCGACGCACACCATCGCGTCTGCGTTCAACTCACACACACACGTCGGCCGACGCTGTCTGAGTTGGCCTTTATACACTAGTATGTTATCTTGCCCACATGACATTCCAGGGTGAAATGGTAAAAAAGAATATTCAATCTTACTGCATAAAACAAAATATAAAGGACACACAATTCATTCTCTTAGGACTGCTCAATATTTTATATTAAAATTCATATGTAACTTATAATATATTAAAAGAACAACAAGATAATCTGAAATTACAAACCCTCAATTGTTGCGCTATACTGTATATACAGTATATACTGAAGAAATAATGGGAATTACTCTACATTATGTCTGTCTCTTATACACATCTAGATGTGTATAAGAGACAGATCCAATAGAACGTATATAAAACACAATAGCATACATCTTTAGTGTGAAAATGAAAAATGTGTGTTGAACAAATAAACCTGGGGAGGAAAAGGTGGGTACTGCACACACTGTACTCCACTTAAAAACTCTTTTTGCAGGTGTCAAGAACATGCCCGCATCCCCTTTCCCAACAATGAGAAAGCGGCCAATGATAATTGAAAGGGTAGAAAGATGTCAGGTTGAAGATGTCACTGGAAGCCGTTGTTTTGATCCTACATGTAGGCAGTTCGTGATATTGGCCGCTTGATGCTGTGGGAGTGACGGCATCCTTCTTTAGACAGCACTGCTTGCTCCACATGAAGAATGGCATGGAAACGGAGGCCTTACCAAAGCTCCATTCCATTCCTTCCAGTTGCTGACTGCAGCCAACAGGTCATCGAGCACTTACAGAAAGGCAGACGCATGCCTCAAATGGAGTACAAAAACTAAAGCTTACATGCTGGAATAACTATGCTTGATGTATTAGATATTGACGTCGTTTTTTGTACATGAACTGGGTCACAATTTCATATTGACACATTGCCGCTCTTAGCGAAGGAAGGTAGCATTTAAGAACCTCAACTGGTCATTCAAGTTAAAGACAGCTAAAATGCTTTGTGAGTGTTTTTAGGATGAGAAACTCAATTACCAAAAAATCAGTAATACAACAACTGGTCAATCTGATCGCATCATCTCCACGTGCCTCACTTCAAAGCAAGCATCATGTTACTTTCGTCAGCATTTATGCCCCGACCGTTAAAACTGGCGCTAAGAGCAAGTTTTACACTGATTTGATCGTACACAGATGGCAAGGTCAACATCCTCGAAACACTGAAAGGGAGAAGCTTCAGGTTGGCAACTTCCAGTCAGTTGCAATGAAAGCTGACATCCAGGTAAAACTTCAATCAAAGCCTTAGGATGCAAGTTAAACTGCAAACTCTAGTCAAGAATTGTTTTGTCACACCTGAAAACTGCTATCCGCCAGGCCTTAGAAGTAGTCCAAGGGTTCTCCACAAGGAAAATCAAAGACTGGTTTGAAGAAAATGACAAGGAGTTTCAAGATGTGCAGGGAAAAAGGATATCCGCCCAAAAGAGATACATTTTACTCAGCCAATGAAAAAAAAAATAACCTTTCATATTACCTACAGCAACTTTTGGTGTAAACTTCGAGAAATCAAAAACAATTGGCGATAAACCTCGTAGCGAAGATTTTATGCAGATACTAGGAGTTACAAGGAGTTTTACAAAACACTGAAGGCAGTATGCATCTCTTCATACCAGATTCATCTATTCATACAAGATTCAAGGTCATTTGTACAGTGCTGACGGCTTGTTTATGAGTTCACACCTACCTCGGCCTCGCATTTTTAGTATCAGTTCCTCAAATAAAAAACACTCAAATGAGAGTTAGGATTGAGGTACATTTTTATATCCATTTGTATTTGTCATATTTACTTTAGTGTGTGGTGCTACACTTTAGCTTGTGGCAGCAGTGGTGTAATTTCTGCTACAATGTATAGGAGGAAAGTTTGGGAACGGCCATTTGCTTGAAAGTTCACATCCACCTCGGCCTCAAGTTTAGTGTCACCGGAATATGCAATATAAAACAGCTGTTGATAACCAAGATAATGACAATCGGTGAACCTAGAGCCCCCTTTTTAGAGGCCATTTTTCGTTTTGAATTTATACTGTATTTTCAACATAAAATGTTACGAGTAGTTTATATATCTACTGAATTCCAGGATCGGAAAGCATATGCATTACAACCAAGATTATGGTGGTCAGGGCTTACAGCCATTTTATTACCAAAAACCTGGTTTTGTCGGCCATTTTGGAATTTGAATGTATAGTTTATTATTATATTATTATATTATTGTAGTTAAGTTTGAAAGGCAACTGAGAAAAACCCATAAAACAGCAAACGGCCATATAATGCAAAACAATTTAAATTTAAAATTAAAACGGAACAGTAGAGAAAATCCGATCAGAATGACAAAATAAACTAAGCATCCACTGGAGGGAATCCCAATATCTGGGATCCGTTACGGATCCGTTTCGGCCTTCCAGGCCTCATCAGTGCAACTAGGGTACAGACCCAAACGAAACGTTCGACCAGCTTAGGTATGGCTCAAACTAGTCCTACACAGAGCCAAACCAAGGCAATATATATACACAGCCCAGGTGTGAATGCAAATATTGGAATACAAGCTATGCGGCTCGGTTCCAGTAGATACAGAGAATATTTTGTCATTCTTAACGCGTCCTACAAAATTCTTACGAGACAGCACTAGTCCGTGAATTTGTGAACAAGATCGGAGATCTAAAGATGTAATCTCTACCTTAGATCAATATACATTGATATATATTTGAAGGTGGTATGTCTGCGACGTCATTAACATCGGTTGTTCCTAACCCTTGATCTAAAGCATTGCTGAGGACACTTTTAGGTCACGGTAGTTAGGGCAATCGCAGTCATTTAATACTAGAAATGTGTAAAATGTGTTTTGGCGACCATTTTGAATATTTATTTTGCATTTTCGCAACAAAGATGTATGTTCTATTAGATTCCTTAAACGAAACAAGATTGTGGTAATATGACACTTCAAACTTCAAACTGCCAACATTTTGTTTTTTGGTGGCCATTTTGAATATTTTATGAAATTTTGCAATTTCACGATAAAGATGTACGTTATTGTATTTTAATATTGTTTTACTGGATTCCGTGAACCAACGAACATATGTATTGACACCAAGGTCATGTCAATGTGGACACCTAGAGCATTTAAACTGCAAAAAAATGTGTTTTTTGGCAGCCATTTAGATTTTTCCAATTTTCGCTGGGAACGGTTGGCGTGACATCGTGGTTCCCGAAGTTTTGGAATTGGCATACCTAAAAAACCTTCTAGGAAAAAGTTTCATGCTTCTTTCCAGAAGTGCACGTCTTGACCAAAAAGTGTCACATATCCGCCCCACTACTACTTCCATGCCACTACAGAAAGATTCCTTTTGTTATTTAAATACCATCACCTCAGCCCCAACCATGGTGGAGCAGAGGTAGGTTGTAGTACTGGGGTATGTACTGTATCTAAATCCTCTATCTGCCGTTTAAGAAGAAAAGGTAGTGGCTCTACATGCTGCCAGATGCTATTTCCAAAAAAATTGCTCATTAATTTTAGCTATAGACTAATTTTTACAAAATTTCGTCTTGGAGTTCTTTAAATTATAGTAGTAAATATTATGTAAACTATTTTCTTTTCCCTTGAAGATGAGTTTGTTAGTGGAGGTTCTTATCTCTGTTGGTTGAGAATTAAATAAAAATAAATCTTTAATGACAACTGACATATTATTATTAGAAAATATCATATTATTATTAGAAAATATATATATTAAAATATTATTAGCTATATTAAAAACAAGGATTTTAATTACCTGATTTGCGCACTTTTGCATGTTGATTTGTTTATAACTCAGTCCGTGAGCCTATGTATGTGTTAATAAATGCCCTAGATATCTAAGAGAAGAAAGTAAAATCGGGTTTTCAGCCTTAAATGTCGGAGGCGTGAGCCTTCGCATTTAATTTCTATTGTGCTTTTGGGCAAGGCTTGTTCAGGTTCTCTCTTTCCACCTACTTCTAGGAGTACAAGTGGGTGCAGGGTGTCCCAAAAGTCTCGACACCGTCTCAAAGTTCATTGTCTCTGGTACCTGGTAGGTCCAAACTCCACCGCCATTATTATTGCTGAAATGTTATAGTATGTTTTGTAAGCAAAATCTTACTCGAGTTCTTCTCATAATGAATGTTTAATGTTAGTCCTTCTGTTAGCTAAAGTTGTCTTCGTTTGTCATATTAAAACATTAAAAATACTCCTTAATTGCGCACTATTTCTTTAATAGAGACTGCAACACCAAAAATGACCACTACGTCACCTTTGAACTCAACAAGCCATGTGCAAACCACAGGTGAGCAATTTATTAGGAACTATTTAAATATAATAATCATAAACATTAATTAAGGATTTGACAGAGAACAATATGAAAATAACATTAAACTTACACAGCACATCCAACAGTGATTATACAGTATATTTACCAAGGGTGGCTCTAGAGCGACAGGGGACCAGGGAACCAGTCGTGACGGGGAGAGCCGCTCCCCCGCCCCTTCGAGTGAAAAAAAAATCAAAATTCGTCGAAAAATATATGTGCATTTTATATTTATTAATAGACTAAAATCGACTAATTAGGCATTCAAAAACCCCCCAGAATTCACTTCACTAAAACGGGTGTTTATTGTGTAGTTGTTACATGCTAAATATTTGAAGAAGTTTTGATATATTATGGGAAAGATTGCATGCCCCATTATATTACCAACTCCTTCAACCTGAAAAACCAGGACCCCCAAAACCAATCCTAACAGGAAAAGTTAATAGTTTGTCTAACTTAATAAAATTTAATTTTTAGGAAGTAAATCTACTCTTATCGTCAGTGGTGCTGTCGGGGCTCTTGCTTTAAGTATTGTCGTCCTGGTCGTCATCATTATCTTGCTGAGTAAAAAGCAAAAGAGGTAGGCCTAAATTTCAGTATGTTCATGTCTTTCTATAGAATTACATAAAATCACATAAAAATAGCAATAACAATAACAATAACAATAGTAATAACAATTACAATAATATAATAATAATATTAATAATGATGATGGTGATGATAATACATAATAGTAACAGTATCAGTAACAGTATTAGTAATAATAGTAATAGTATTAGTGAAAGTGATGATTGTAATGATAATGGTTGGAGATTTATATAGCGCATAATACATGCTTGGTATCTATGATGATAATGGAGATCACCATGATGATGACAATTATGGTGATGATGACGGTGGTAATGGTATTTCATATTTATGTCAATTTAAATAAGAATTAAAATAAATTAGAATATTATAAACGAGAAATTATCACGCTACAAAAGCAACACACTGAGACGTTTTTCCAAATTGGTTAGGATCAATAATGACATGTATTGTTACAACAATTATGCCCTATTATTGATAATTGTAATGTTGTTGTTGTTGTTAACAACATTCAACATTTTCCAACCTGGTTAGGATCAATAAGTCTTTATGATCACATACTATTGGTACCACATTTTCACGGTAATTATGTGTTGTAGTTCCACACTGTGCCGGATTAACCATTAGGCAAATAAGGCACAAGCCTTGTGGGCCAGGCGAAAATGATGGGCCATCAAAAGTTGGACTGCAATATTATTTACACTCTATTTTCCGGTATTATTAGGCCAGAAAACTCGGAGACATTCTACTGTTAGAGTTTGTGGCAGAGTAACGCTTCTCTCCGACACGAAAAATTTTGTGCCTGCGGCCTTTGGATGTTCTGATTTATACTAAATGTTTTCCTGCAGCACATACTATTATTTTATCCGATCTAGCGGACCTTTCTAGGAGGATTCTCCCATAAAAACACCTGACTGAAAGCCGATCTTGCACGCGTTTTTCTTTTTTCTGCAAGTCTTTTTATTTCGACATGTTCACGCAACCGTCTGTGAATCCCGATAGATCTGTGAGCCTGCAAAAGGCCTAAAATCAGAGTGAAGTTAAACTGTAGTGGTTTTTTTAGTTCCATGCGCCCTCGTTTACAGCAGGCATTGGAGAGAGCAAATAGACGGTGTAGACCAGTTACTATTAGGCATTTTTCGTTTTGACTACGCGGCCAGTCTACTACGAACTAATAGAGCGTAACGGACATCTGCGCATGCTCACAAACCTTACTGGCTAAATCGGCGTTGTGACAGCTTCCGCGACAACCCCAATTTCTGAATTTGGCGTAGTGGCGACTACGCTAATATTGACCAATCAGATCACCGGATTGTTTGGCAAACTGCTGGTAACTTTTTTGTTGGGGGGTTGCAATTTTCATCGCATCCGCGATCGAGCATTGTTCGTTTAATAATGAATTAATTATTAAAACAAGTGAGTAATTAAATGTTTTATGAAGGCCTATTGATTCACATGCAATAAATGAGGAATGAATAGTCACCATAAAATTAGGTAAATCAGGGGATCTAGTGAAAAAAGGGCCTTAGGCTTAGGCTAGGCTAGCCTAGCCTTGTCAGGGTGATTTCGGGTAAGAGAAAACACATTATCTGGTGCCGCTAGCTAGGGCATCAGCCCTTGATATCGTGGATCAAGCCTTAAATACCTCTGTTTAAAATTGTTATTTATTTGTACATCATCGTTGCATTTGGCAAATTGCCTGAGCAGGCCTGACACCCCTCTTCTCCCGGTTAACGACTCTTTTGACACCTAGGCTAGGCTAGGCTAGGCCTAGCCAGGTAGATCCTAGCCAACAGCGAAACATCACTCAGTGTTTTCTAGAAACTTTTTATTTTGTATACAGTATTTGACTAAAGTTTTTTTTCACATCCTTTTTCAAATATAAAACAAGGGAACATTGTTCTCTGGTATTAAAACCATGGTCGACTAACTCCCCTCCGTAGGCCTACGTACGTGTGCTGCGTCGTCGTAGTCACCTTAAAAAAAAACGAAAACAGCTCTTGGTGTAGTACGCGAACAGTGTCTTGGCGTTGCCGTCACGGTCCATGAGTTCGTAGTAGACTGGCCGCGTAGTCAAAACGAAAAATGCCTATTGAATGAGTAATCACGGTAACTGGGGTTTTTACATTTCGTAGTTATTAACATGGGGTCCATTCAATTTACATTTTTGGGCCATTTCCAAAATGTGTCTTGAGGCCAGACGATGCTTAATCCGGCACTGGTTCCACATTTACAGTGAAATTAAGGGCCGTTTATTTGAGTATTTTTTATCCATTTTACACTAATAAAATGCCTAATGCTGGATGCAGGATTTGCCGGTAGGGATTGCGTGCTTAAAGTCGACACCACCTCAGCCCCATCATTCTCAGGTGTTGACATATACGCTGTGGCAGCTCTAGGATGGGGGGGGGGGCTAAGCTGTCTGTCAGGGGGGCTTGAGTTGGTATGCCTGCAGAGGGGAGGTTTGGGTGGGGCGACCCCTCCCAATGAAATATTTTTTTTAAATAGGGACCTATGGATGGCCGGAAATGCCACTATGCGGAAAAAATCTTTGTGTCAATGGGCGTAGGTACACCCCAATAGGTGTCACTCGGTCGGCGTAATAATTTCAATCTATTGCATTTCCTCGTGGGGATATACAACCGCACCCCTTTTCTCGTTGCGGATTGAAATTACCTTCTCTGTGCACCAATAACTCCTTGGAAGTTCTTTTTTTTAAGCGTCTTTAACGTTCAAATCTATACGTAAGTATGAGTTCAATATTAAGTAATACTTAGAGAACCCGTTAAGTTAGAAGGGGTACTCATGAGATGCCTAAGTTATTGCTTTTGGAAAACGAAAAACATTTCAGGCAAGAATATTTTATTTCCACATGCCACTGTATGTGCACTGAACCGTGGAGATATCTAGGTCCCCGTCAATTCCCTTCGCTGCCTCTCCTTGTGTTTCAGCTGATAGCTGAAATAGAAGTTACAATAGCGCACTGTCTTTCGAGACGTTTAGTCCGTTGGTCCCATGTGCGCGTTAAAGAACGCAGTACACTCTTCGGAAAAGAGTCGGGGATTATCTGCCAGTGTCAGGGGCGGCGCAGTGGGGGGGGGGGCAAAGGACCCCCGTCGGGGACCTCTGGACCCCGCTTGGATACCCCTGTCGGGAGATTTCCGGGCAAGGGCGTCGGGGAAAAATGAAATCTCGACCGCCGAAAGTACAATTTAGGTTTGCCTGACTAAGATGTCAAATTTTAGGGATTAAAAACTGTTTACTGCGAGCAGTGCTACTGTATGTGCGAGGTATTGTATACTATCGTGATTGTATGGGTCGCGGTGGTTGCGCCAGATCTTCTCCGACCTAGGGCTGGTACCTCCGACAGATGGTTAGTACCCCCTACAGGGGGCATCTTACCTTGTTTTCTAACAAATTATCTTTTTTAAATAAATAATACCATAATCAACAGAATTTTTCCCGACTATAGGAGGGGGAGGTGTGCTAGGCTTCCCCGACCCGGGGGGTGGGACTCTTGTCGGGAGCTTAAACTCCCTTGCCGGGGAGCTGGACCTCACGTCGGGGATTTCCTGGATGAAAATTGTTCTCGATTTTATGCAATTTTTACGACATCTGTTTAAGCTTTTTATCAATTTCATAAAATGTTCATGATTTGTTGATTTTGACAGAATAAATAAATGAATAAGAGAATTTTTAAAATAATTATTAGGCCTATACCGGTACGTATTTTTGCAGGAGGCTACAACAATCTGGAGATACACATGGCCTTACCAACAACGACAACCGAAATGCAAAACATTTACTTCGAGTCAGTAGGCAGGGCGATACTATCTATGCTGTACCTAATAATATTGACGAACCGAAATACGAATCGTCTATTGGAGCTTATGGAGTAAATCATCCCATCGGAGGGAGCCCATACATTGCCACTAAGCTGGACCATCAATATGACACTCCGAATACTGTTGCTTTGTATTCAAAATCCGAACCAGTGCCTCACGTCGCCCTCTGTACTTCGTCCGTGCTACATGACTACCTTTGTACACAATACACTCCTGAAGACTCAAACGGATATCTTGTGATGCGTGAGAGTTTGGCTAATTAGTCGGCTGTTCCTTCAAGCGTTTTCTAGTGAGCTCCTCAAACTAGAAATTGACTCGTTTACGACTTGGGCCTATTGTCTGACATTAAAACGCTTTGGATGTAGCGCCGGCGGTTTATAACTGGCCATAGAACAGTAGCGTATCCAGGCTGGCGGTGCATTAGCATCCTCCTTCATAGGTTGAAAAAAATCTAAATGTCTATTTTTGAATTTTTACAAATATTTTTAGTATTAATGTACCATTTCCGGTATCTAGAAATCCCCAATTCTAATTATTTTCCCACCTCATCCTCAACCATGATG